GAAGACTTGTCATCTTCTCTCAACAAAATGCGGGAACCTGTAGACCACCACAAAGTGTGAAGAACTCCTTGTATTCATGACTATGTCCAAGGAAGTGTCCTCTGAATTCCTTCTGTTCTTCTAATTGCATTATCCATTACGTGAAACTGCTTTGAATGTTGATACATTTTTGTGAAGCCTTCCTTCTTATTTTTTCTACAGGTGCATTTTCTTATATAAAAAACATTTAAATCTCTTTTAGCTATTGTGATGAAATGAGGAATGCAGAATCGCTCTCACAGAGAGAATAACAACAAAATGTTAATTCAGTGGAGGTGTATAGCAACTCAGAGTTTTACTCTCCATCTGTCCCCTCCCAGTTAGAAACAAATTTTGTTTTATAATTTCTGTGGGAAAATGTACTTTGATTCGGCAAAAGCATTTATACATAGACTTAATGTTAAATAAATGCTTAACGTTTATCATCCTGAAAGGACTGCCGAGAGCCTAATGATGTAGTCAAAATTTTATATACAATTTCTATTCATTTTAGCTGGTGTTATGCACAAATAAGGGTTTCGGTAAGCATAAACTGGCTGCTTTCTTTGTCAACAATGTATTTTTTGTTCTTTTTATTGGAATGTACAATTGTATAATTATTTACACCATTTCATATAACAATGTAAGTAGAATGGGAATGCAAATTATGTTTCTACAACTGTACAATTCTGGGAAAAATTTCACTGAACATGGATGTGCTTCACAGATTATGCAAAATTCATTTCTAAAAATGCTTTGTGATTTTCCAGGTACTGGATACGTTTCTTTTTTTATTTATGAAATTAACACTAGTCTTGTTGACCACTGACAAGGTTGGAAATACATTTTTTTGGCTGTTCTTATCACTTTTGGATAGAGTTGTTCCTCTGGTTATATATAAGTTTCGGTGAAGGGTCATGAGACTTTTGAGACTTATAGGAACTTCTGTATATTTATTGAGTCTTCTGTTTGTTCGCTATTTTGAACTGGACCCTGAACATCTAGTTGTAGGGAAAGGTGCTTTACAGGTGTTTTTGCTGGATGGATCGATGAACAAAATTAGTTTTTAAGTAGGTCACTTTGCTGAAATCTCCCAGTTGTTATTGTAAAAGATGTTTTCAATTGCCTTGACCCTCTGCCTGCGTTCTCCCCTCAACTCTTCCCTTAAATTTCAAAAAGTCAAAATTTTTTAGTAATGTGAATGTTTTTGTGTTTTGAAATGTTGATTTTTTTAGACTTCTTTTTTTTAACATTAGTTAGAAGTGGATTTTATTGCTGAAATAATTATAAATTATTAGTATATGTTATGCTAATCTAGCAGCTGCTCTAATTTATTAATATTTTCCCACTGACTGCCAACTGCTTCTTCTAAACTCAAAATAATCCTGTGTGCTCTGTAAACTTGCCAGAAACACAGTCAGCTTCTCAAGAGAGCATTTCTGGCTGTTAAATAGTTTTGTGCAGGTCTTGCAAGTCATCCTGAATTGTGGTAGGAAACTCTGAATCCAGATAGTCTGAATCTGAAATGTTGCTGAAGTACTGAGACTTGCTAAACTTACATGAGGGAGGCGAACAGCAGGTATAAAAATCACCCCATTTGCATTTTATTAGACAAAACACTGTGTTCTGGTGTTTGTGATGATGAAATTTGAAAATGTTTTCAAATGCACCTAATATTAGAGTAATAGTATATCATTTTACTTGTTTTATCAGCCTGTTACTAAAAGGGACTCTCAAAACTGTGTCACTCTCAGGGTAACTTGCTGATATTGTGTCTCAGTTGAATGCCTTTAAAAATGCCTGCATTGGTAATTCTTCATATCCTTGTTCCTCTACTAACCTGACTGTGCCATCTTTGAAACTAGGACAGAAATCTAATCACAATCTGCTATTGCATAAATTGAAACTGTGTAGGTCCTGACGGAAGGTTATTCTACCTTAACACAGTTTGAAAAGTATCCAACGTAGAATTAATGTTAATACCAGTAATTTATTTTACTTGTCCTTTTTATGACTCTGTATTCTTCTTTTTGTCTTTTATGTCCACTACATACAATGCTTGTATTATTTTTTTGTGCAATGCTATTATAATTAAAGAAATTCAATTACAGAAATAAATAAATTATTTTCAATTTAAGGAATTCTGACAGCTTCTCCAATTGCAACTATAATTTGAAATGGAATTAAAGATTTTATTTGAATGACATACTTTAATGTTTAATTTGTACTAGAATTTCCTGTTGGCTTTTACCCCAGAAATGATAACAACTTCTTGTGGAACAATCATTTTTGTCACACAAACAGGTCTTTTAGGTGAATTCTTGAGTTGCAATTCAAGATTCAATTGATTAAAAGTACATTCCTACTATGCCCAACAGATGGTCATGTTTTCCATCCAAGATTTAGTAGGGTCTGTAGTGTGGCTGAGATGCAGTTTCTATATATGACAAATTACAGAAGTAATTATAATGTCACTATTTTGTTTATGTTTCTATTTATCTGTTATATTTAACATTGAAATTAAGGTTTTAGATGTGCATACTGAAATAATAGACACAATTCTTTGGGAAACTTTCTTGCAAAATCTCTCACTCTCCCCTCCCCCAGTACAAAATAAAGGAAAAGTTTTTTTGGTAACCCAGTGCAGTTTTGAAGTTCAGTGAAACTTGAGATTTTCAAGGGAAAGCTGCCTGTGTTTAGGTCAAGTAAGATCCATTTGCAGTGTTCAGTGTCAATAAGACAAAAATGACATGCATGTAGTTGTTACAAGTCTGAATGGGTTTCTCGTTATGCTTTGTTTTGACCATGAGGTCCAACATTAATTAGTATGTTTCTGTGAAAAATATTAATTTCACAAGTTTTTGTCTTGCAGTGAAAATATTATCTATGGAGCAGAAGTTTGCTCAATATTTAGTTTCCCTATTGCGCTCACTTCTAGAAATGCAAGCAAATAATAATGTTGAGGTATAAAAGTGTTTATTTAGAGCTGGCTTATATGAACTTTACAATCTCATGAGCAATTCCAAAGATACCTGAACTTGAAGGGGCAGAGTCATTTTCTCAGTTATGTGATAGGTGACAAATGTATTTAGAAGAAAATAATGGTTCCTGAGTCATTAATAATTTATACAAAGCTGTGGCAGCTCTACAGGTAGGACTCTTCAATGTGCAAAGAAAAAAGTAAGCTCCTGCATAACATTTAAAAACTCTTAGAATTACTCCAGTATTACTGTTATGAACCATTTAATTTATGTTTTCTAACACAATTATTATACAAGAATGGTGTTTTTTCAGAAACTCAATTATCTTGTTTAGGTTTGTCCTTCTGAATTAGGTGTGAGGAGGGATCCTCTGGTCTTCAGAAATGGCTTTTGGCAGCTTGATAAAAATACTGTCAACTTGTTAAATTAACTATGCTTCCCACTGCTGAGATTGGAGGCCATCAGTCTCAGCCTTTCCAGCAGATATTGCTGCTGGAAATAACTGGAGCCTCTAAGTACAGCAAGTCTTTATTTCTGAGCCAGGCAAAGCTATGCTTTTCCTTAAGTATGGACACCGAGTTTTTTACTTGCAGTGGGTTACTTCTGTGCAACTGCTTTTTGCAGGTATTTTACTAGCATGGCTTATTTTCGTTGTGTAGAGAATGTTTCTGTGACTGCATTATGTGATTTGCATGGAAAAATTTATGCAATTAAGTAATGGGGTCAAAGGATATTTCTCAAGGTAATTAACAAGTGTAATCTAGTAAGAATATGCATCAGAATTATGATTATTTATTTTTTTTTAAATATAGGTGCTGTCTGCAATAAAAACTTTAGTCACTTACTGTTTTCTGCCTGACTTAAGATAGTGAAAATACTGAATAGTTTGATAGAGACCGGTAAAACCCAATAACTTACCCTGTTTTGTAAAAGCATCTTATACAGAAATGTTGTGAAAGTGTGGTATAGGTGGATGTTGCTATTGCTGCCTTTTCATTCCCCTTTGCAAAAACCTGATGCAGTAAAGGCATGGCTCCACCATACACTCAGCCTGAGGTATGTGGATTTGCATGTTAGAAAAGCTGGGCCAAATTTGTCATATGTTTTTTTTTAATTTTCTAATTTGTTACTGCAAGATCATATTCCAGGAAATAGCTTAAAAATAGTCAAAAACAATAGTAATAAAACACTATGGTTTTCCAAAACTTGTTAATTCATAATTATACTTCTTGAAATTGGTTACATAATTTATGAATTGTTTTGTTAATGTGTCCTTAGATAGTTCCTGAGTAAGTTTATACACTGGACAACCATAAGCTGTTTAAAAAAAACCCCTATGTTGTTTTCCTTGTATGTCATTTAAATGACATTTAATGAGCTGAGATTTTATCAGAAAAAATGGAGGACTATTGATAATGATCTGAAAAGTTGTTAATTAAGATTAGTTCATTCATTATTTCTTGCGGTTTTTCCAACTTTTGTTGAAACTACTTCTTTTCCTGTTCTTTGTGCACTTAGATATATGTACTTATAAAAGAACACATATAAATATACATGCGAACACATACATATGTATATTTTGGAACTGAAACCCTACTACTATTCATAGAAATCCTTGCATGCAGAAACCTCATTACTACTTTACTGACAGAAACATTAAGTGACAAGTGTCCTTACATGTAAAACATCAACTATTAGAATAGTAGGCTAATATCTCAATTATATTTTCTTAAGCAAGGAGTTACTAAGCAGCATAAGTCAACAACTGCATGTTTCTTTTTACAGATGAGTGAGGCCTCACAGAAATTTCTGTCAAGGGCTGACTCAGGATTAGTAAAATTTCTCTGCAATGACTAACAAGGGCTTTAGGTGAACAGAACTTCCATGAATTCAGTTTGCAATGTTACTGCTGTTTCTAAAACAGTATTTTGTTGGCAATTTTTGTTAGAATGCAAAAGAACAGCTTTTGGTATTAACCATCTACTTGCTTTTTCGAAACAGGTATTAAAGTGAAATTTAGAACGCAGGAGCCCGATGGTTTGATTTTTTTCTCTGCATCACCTGGCAATCAGGAGGAATACATTGCATTGCAGCTGAGGAGTGGACGACCTTACTTTCTTTTTGATCCACAGGTACAACAAAAGACAGGATCCTATAAAAATTGCTTATATCATTTATTTCAGCACTTTTAACATGCTTATCCTTGTTTTTTGTTTGTTTGTTTGTTTGTTTGTTTTAAAATTTAATTTATACAAGTTCATTTGCTTCTTGGAACCCTCAGTGAACTAGAGATTTTGGGAGAGGAAAACTGAAACACTTAAACTTTACTCTTTTATTGTTAAGAGTGCCACAATTTAAGACTTTGTTTTTGCATTTTTATGAGTTGGGGGTTTTTTGTCGGTACCGCCAAACACCACTACAGATTAAAGCAGCAAGATTTCAAAGGTGGGCAGAACAAGGTTTTGAATTAGTAAATAAAGATTATGTAATTTTAGCAAATAATTTTTAAGAATCCCATATCGAGACTTTTTCCTGCTGAAATCAGCATGTTGCCATTATGCAAAGACATAAATAATAAGGGAAATATCAACAAAATGAAAAATAAGGCCACATTCCTTGCATTTCTATTTAGGTATTTTGTGTTTTCTTTGCACCCTGAAACTGGATCTCCTCATGGAATTAAAAAACGTTACGGACTCACTTATATTTCATAAATATGCAAGAAATTGATAGTAATTATCAGATTTTCTAATTATATTGAGAGAATATGGTATCCTACGTATCATATATGTGCATCCTTTTCGTAAGGTTACTACTGCCTCAGTGTTGCCAGAAGGTCTGATCTGGTTGCTCTATCAGCCATATCTTCTGTCACACCTTATTGTCTAATTCTGCATTTGGCATTGTATCTTATGCTCCAGGGGGTTGAACAGAAATGCTTAATGGCATAAAATGGTGGGGATTTAGAGATGTGCCAACCCACTGTTAACCTTTGCCTCCTGAGCTCTGCCATAGTCCAGGCACTGATGCTCCATGACCATGTGGAGGTGTTGTATAGCAGTGAAGGTCCTCTTAAGCTCTGGAACATCTGTGGAGGAGGCATGGTGCTGCACAGAGGCTGGCTTGTACGTCATCCCCATGCTTGTATGTGATCCCCATGCTAGAAAACATTAAATCTGCTTCTGACCCCAGCATATAATTTTCTACTATTTCCACTGCATTTACATGCAGGCTTTACTTTATTTTTCCTTGTTGCAAATTGAATCAGTGCATACGTCAAAGTTTGGGACCGTGCTTAATGTTGTTAATATTGCCCTCATCCACATTTTAATAGGGACTAAATCTATCCCTTTTACACTTCACTTAACTGAAAAGGAATTTTTATTTCCTTCTCAAGATCTTTCTAGGTGTCCTGATTAGATTTTGTTGCTGTTGCTGTTTGTTATTTAATGGGAGTGGATGTCTTTCAACTAACATTTTAGTGCTTCAAATAGTATTCCTAGCCCTCCTTGCAGATTTGCTCCTTCTGAAGTAGATTTATGTCAGCTTGTTTGGACTCATTCCCTTAAAGATGTTGTATTTGTTTGGATCCACAATATTTGGGGAATGGGAAGTGAGGGGGGACACATGGAAGGGTGGCTGATTTAGGGAGTTAATTCCCCCCCCCCTTTTTCTCCTGTCTTTTAACAGTAAAAAAGTGCAGGTCTCATATTTAGTCATTAGAGCATCTCAGTTCAGTTAATATTTTCAATAGTTACTATTTTGATTTTTAACAGATTGTTTATGAATGAATCTTTGTTTATATTTCTGTTTCATTTGAATCAGATAACTCTGTCCCATGCTGATTTTTAGGATCATCACTTCCATATTGTTGCCTTTTCTTATAAAGTCAAAAAATTGCCTATGGTGCTGCTTCAGTGGCTGTTCAGAGAAAAAAAAAGTCTGTCATTCAAGGTATTCAGGAACAGTGTAGGTCTTAACAGATGATTTACAATCTTGAAAGCTAATGCTTTCTAATTTTTCATTAATAATGTGGAAGAGATTCCTGTACATTCTCAGATTCAGAAGTAGGGTACAGTGGCCTACATCAATGTATTTTTGTAGCATCTTTTTCAAAATCTTTTACCTATGAAAATACAGTTGTCAGAAATTTTCAGTCTTCTGTATCCTTACTGTGCTGTGCTACCTTACTGTCTTTACCTTTGTTTCTGTGTTTCCTTCATAGTTTGTTTCTTTTTTCTTTTTTCCATGATTTGCTATTCCTGTCTTACAATGTCAGGGATCATGTTCTGTAGCAGTATTTCTTAATCTTTCATTTGTGCATCACAGTTTGCATTAGAGTGCAAATGCTTTAATTTCATCTTATTGACATCATGTGGTGTCTTAACCAGGTTATATGCATTGTTTTCTCTAGTTATGGTCATGGCATATACAATAAGCATTTGTGGCCTTGCCTTTGTGCTCTTCCCTTAAAAATTGCAAAAATTCTTTTTGATGACAACTGTGTCGCTGCTGCTTTTTATCTGTAGCAGTGTGGCATAATATTCTGTGCTCCTTTCCAGCTGTGCCCTGTCACAGGTTAATTATTTTTACCCTTAGTCCCTTTCAGGATGCTGGTATGTATCTTTGCTCACTATCAGCAATGTGTTTTCTCTTTGTTGTGTCTGCTCTGGGGATAGTCCTGCCAAGTCTTCCTAGTGGGGAGCCTTCACCAGCCTAGCTTCATCCTTCCCTAAGTGTTAATTTCAAATCCTTTTCTTCCTGTCCATTCATACTCCTCTGAGCCTCATGTACACCACCATTCATCCAGCTATTGTCTGACCCTCCCTTTTGTTTCCTTTTTGTGTTGTGTAACTGCTCTTTTTTTCCTTCCTAATTGTTTTACTGTCATTCTTTGCAGTTTCTACTCATGCTTCAGGAAGCATGAGGGGTTTTGCTAACAGATGTCTTCCTTAGTGTTGTCTGAACAATCAAATTGTTCCATAGATCTTCCTCCAAACTCAGAGTATCTGTAAACCTTCAGCTGTCTGTGGATTTTCTTCTTATCATGATGTGTTTACCTCCACCCCTAAATTTCGTAATCAACTCCAGCTAAATTTCTGGTTATCTTTCAGTGGCTGCAGGTCATTTGTTCTTCTTCTCAGGGAAGCACTGAATTTTTTACACCAAGTGAAATCATTAAAAGTGAAAATATAAATCCAATGTGGAGTACCTTCTTCCTTAGTGATTAGTGCAGTCTGGGGATAGGGTATTGAAATTGTTCTCACAGAATGGAGGGAATTGAATCCAGCTCTTCCATTTTAGAAGGCAATCCATTTACTAAAGTTTACAGCAAAAAGGAGGAACATCAGATACTTTTCTTGTTGCCTGTGTTTCCTTGTTGGTTGTTCTTGTCATGAAGAGGCTGAATTAGTAGACACAGTCTGAGGGTAAGCTGTAACTCCACAAAAAAAAGGAAGATGGAGACTACCTACCCAGCTGTGAGTGTCAGCTAGACTTTCCTCCTTGGCACAACTTCAGTATTTGTTTACCTTCTCAGTGGTAGGAGTTTGGGAATTGAAAGAACTTGACTGGTAAAAGTATAGTTACACTCAGACTTTGGCACCTAAGATGGTATCTTTGAAGATTCTTATTTGTGATGTTTCTATGTGTTTTCAATGTAAACATCATCACGAGAGAGCCACAGTGATTCGTTCTAATTTAGTTATTACTGAGATCTACCAAATATTAAGGTGTTGTATGGTTTAACTAAATAACCCAGATTTCAAAATGTTGATTTCCAAGATGCATGAAAAGCCATCTCACAACAGGATATTTGAATGTGATCACAGAGTGACTCAGGTAGTTCTGGATTAAATTTCTTAAAGGGACCTCCAACTCAGTGCATGCTGAATCCTGAATACCATCTTTTTTCGTCTTCCCCCAAAATTAAGCACAGGTTTGCACATATGCTTGTGTGGTCCCAGATTGAATTGGTTACAAATAAATGTGGTTTCTGGTGTATAAAACTGTTAATGCTCTAGACTGTTGCCAAACATAATATGAAGAACCACTTATTCAGGCACCTGATCTTTAGAATGCAGCATCGTTTGTAACAATTTTAACGCTAACTAAGTACACTTTGATGAGACAGCATTTAATAAAATGCTCATTAATTTCATCATTAGCAAGGGTATGCTAAGAAGTAAGCCAGTTTCTTATGTCACGCCCAATTAGCATCCCATGCTAGTAATCCCATTAGTATTGTTGAATTCACTAATGGAAAAACTAATGGGCATGCTACCAGGGCACATTAATTGGGCATGACACCAGTTCTGGTTTTAATTATTAAACTATGATAATGAAATGTGTGTGTTTGTAAAATATTAAAATGTTGAAATAGGAGAGAAGACAATAAAAAATAGTATATGAAAAAGTGGGAATTAATATGTAAGGATATATAGCTTTCTGTTGTTTTAATGGGGCAGAGGGCTGCTGCACAAAACTCCTCAGTACCAGGATGTTGGCTGAATGGAGTAGGAAGCATGCTGTAAATATCCACAGGAAATAACTTTTTCTGTAATCCTGTACATATGTGCACATCATATGTATTTTGATTCATAAGATACACAGTGACAGTCCCCAATTCAAAAGGTACTGCAAAATGTATTCTGTGTTTGTAAATCTTATGCCAAAATGCGGTTTCTAGGAGATGAATGCCACTAAAGGCAGAAGACTAAATTTTAACAGAAGTTTTTAGTATTAAAATAGGTGTTGTTTACATCAACAGGTTTTCTCCATGTGCATAACTCTAAGGTCCTTTGGCCAGAAAAAGTCATAGATGATCTGAGAATAAAAAAATTGCTGAATGATCTAGTTTGCTATTGCAAAGTTACAAGCTAGGCACCCAAATGATAAGAAACCAAATTTTTCTTTTACATATTTTTTTAAAGTTGTTTTTTGAAGCCATAAAGTAACTACAGAAGTTGAGAGTCTTTAATATAGCACAGTGCCTATACAAGGAAATGTTTTTCCATTCAGTAGTTGCCTGCTGCATAGGACAATTGTATTTGTGAATCCAGCAGAATAACTTTGAGTTCTCAGGTAGTTCAAGTAGGGTATAAAGTCCTGAGAAATATTATGGGAATTATTCGGAAATTAGAAGATTATTTGGATATAAATCTCAAGAAAATTCTTGAAATGTATTGATTTTATTTGTGTTACATCATTATATTAATTTATGTGATATTTTGTTTGGTTCTTTACAATCGTGAGATTTAGTTTGGCAGCTTCATCTCTTATATTCCTCTTACTCAGCAATTTGGAAAAGACTTCTCTGTATTTGTCATAGATGTCCCTAAATTCACCCCTCTTTGTCGTATTTTTTTTTGTTTTAATAAAACCACATACAAATTCTAGTTAAATTTAAATGCATTTTTACAAACATCCCTTATACCATAAAGCAACTTCAATAACTATCTTTTGGGGGCGGTGTGTGTGTGTGGTTGTTTGTTTGGTTTTTTGTTTTGCTTTTTGTTGTTGTTGTTGTTGTTTTGTTAGGGTTTTTTTCACCTTCTTTGTTTTGGTGTGTCTTCCCGAATCTCTTGGAATGACTTTTTTTTCCCCTCCATAAATTTATTGTACTCTTTCATCTAGAAATTTAAGTCCTTTTGATACCAGGTTAACATGGACAGAACATGAATCTACTGTGCTACAAATACACCTTTTTTTTGGGTTCCTTCCTTTAGACAGGTGCTGCAATTAACAATCTTGATATGCTGCTTCTCTCTGTGGATGGGACATTGAATCATGGCCATCAAACTACACAGCCACAGTAATCCGTGAAGTAGTTAAATAGAGACATAATTAAAAAAATAAATAAAAAATAAAACATCTGAGTGACATGACCCACAACGATTTGTGCCTCATCCTTGTCTTTATCAGGAGAACTACACAGAGTTTTCTATTTTTAATAGAAACCAAACTGGATCCTTGATCTTTATTTTATTATTTGAAAAGGTTAATTTAGTGGGAAAATCAGTCCTAAACATCATTCAGTAGTCCAAAAGAAGTTAAGCAGAGGACTTCTGTCTTTATTTTTAGATGTTACATGCTACAGATTGCTGTAAAACAGTAAGGTATAATTCTAAATGTTACCTTCATAATATTCTAAATTGGATTCTTCTCTTTATTAAAAAGGGATCTGCAGTAGCAGTCACTCCAACTAATGATGGTGGAAAAATGTACAATGATAACAGCTGGCACCAAATAATTGCTACAAGAATTCAAGCACTGGGAAACATCACAGTGGATGGGCAGTATACAGGTAATCAATTCATCTAAATAATTTTGGTATTGCTCAGGGTATTGCTCGCTTGCTTACTTTTCCACTACCTGTGTTTGCCCATATAAAAAAGAATTCAACTCAATTTTCTCAAAAGATCACTACTGTTTTGTCTGCTCATCTGAGGTATCTGTCCAATGTGAATCTTTGATGATTTAATACTAAGGGTCTTTTTGTGCTTGTGAATCTATAATTGTTTTAATACTCTGTTGTAAAATAGAGATGTAAATATTTCCTGGATACATATGGGAAAGTACTAGGATATTGTGTCACATTAGCCTTTTTTATAAAATATCAATGTTTTGTTATTGAGTTGAAAATCTGTTGAAAGCATTGAATAACAGAATAATGATCTATTTCTGTCAGGTTCTTCCTTAGCAACTAGTGGCAGTACCATTATTGGAGAGAACACAGGAGTTTTTGTTGGAGGACTTCCACAGGGTTATACTATTGAGAGAAAGGATGTAGGTGAGTATGATAAATAAGTCTTTACAGTTTCTCAAATTTTACCTTTTGAGATAGACTGAAATGTCTATATAGCTGATTTCATCAGCATTAAAGCAGCGTATGAGCTCTGTGTGCATTTTAATGAATTTTATACACAGAACTGGTATGACTGTGAAAGTTAAGGATATGTTTTACATACAGATTCCCAAATTCTTTTCCAAAACACACAAGAAATTTCTTTTTATTAGCTTAAACGCAGGGTTATGCACTTGGGTGCAGGGATACAACATGCTGGCCTTTTTTGGTGTCAGTTTGTATCCTTCAGAGGTTGTTGCATTGAATTTGGTGGTGTATGAATATACCTGTATTTTACAGATATAGAATTTATGTAGAATTGGATCATACTTGGCTTCTAGAAAAATCAATAAACATAAGTTTTCATATATAAATTTGGTATATATTTCAAGGATATAATCTGTCAACCTGTAACAGAGAGGTGACTGCCTACAAAGCCAGTATACAGTCAGCTGTTCTCAGTGAATTCATTTCCAAAATTTTGTTTCTGTCATATTAACCTGGAAGCCAAATTGTTTGCTATGTTTATGTTCTCACGTCTGACATAAAAACTAGTGGGGTACACTGAAGTCCAACTCCCTCTTCTTTGTCACTTTACTAAAACCAGAAATATGTGCATGTGTTCTTCTAAAACGTTGGTTCACAAAGTAATCCAGGATGCCTCCCTCAAAAAACACAGGTAAATAATTAAAATGAGACTGACTATAAATACCATTCAAGAGAAGGCCACCTATAAATCTGCTTTATGTTTTTGTCCCTAGTGAAAAAAGAGTATAGCAGCCAGGAATCATTGGGGTTTTTTTATTCAAACAAGGAATGAAACATTTCCTGATGAAGCTTCTAAACATGTATTCATCTGTCTTAGCTTTTGCAACACTGTTTCTTCCTATTCAGCAGAAGCATGCCTTTCTTCAGAATTACTGTTGTGTTTAAAGAAAACTTTCCTTGGATCTCCATAGAGCAGATTTCTGCTGTTGAATTGAAAGTACCTGTATACAAAATCTCAAAAATTTTAGTATTTTTCAGCTATGTAGCAGACACTGCTGTCTTTAGGAACTAGACCCATTCAAAAATCTGGATTTAGCTTTGAGACTGTCTTTATGAAGTGATTGATAGCTGGTTTTCAATGCATACATAGACATATATGATAAGGAGAACACGAATAAAACATATAAATTAATTCTTGTGTTTAGTTGCAGGTGATTAATCGGCTTAAAAAATATTTTCCTTTTTTTGCAGGGATGAAGAGGATAGTGCAGAAAGGATTTGTGGGGTGTCTTAGTGATGTATTTTTGAAAAAAGCGCATACTCCTTATGAAAACTGGGAATCTTTGAACTGGGAGTATGCTGAAGAGCAGAACAATGTCTATCATGTTTGGGAAGGATGCCCCATTGCTCTCTCAGAAGGAGCACATTTTCTTGGCAGAGGTAGTTTCCTGTTCTATTGCACTATCCAAGTATGTTCTTGAGATATAAAAGGTGAACGTATTAAAAGTATTGCAGTGATCTGCTTTTCAAAGCATTTTTAGTTATAGAGGTTTATTTTTGAATGGTTTAAAATTTGGTCTCTGGGTTTACAGAAGGTTGCTGCATGAAAGAGGAATTGCATTCACAGACAGGTAGTGCTGCTGTAACTGTATGCAGATTTGATGTGCCTGTAAAAGGTGAAGGTTCACTTTTGTAGAGACATAAAAGATGCCTATAAGAAAAGATGCCAAAAGAAATGCCAGGTAAAAAAATGAGGATGTTGTACCGGTTTGGTTTCTTGCAGTATGTTGTTGATAACTGTCCTTTACAAGGCTGAGTGATAAAGTTGTAAGAACTATAATCTTGATGCCCAAGTTCTTTATATCAAAGTAGAAAGAAGCATCTAAATTTTTACTTTTGGTTTCCTGAAACTATTTATTTATGGATTTGATTAGTTTATGTATGCACTCACTCTCTTTCCAGGGTTCCTGGAATTGCATTCAGGTGTTTTCAGTGGTGGAATGGAATTTGAGATCTCATTCAAATTCAGAACAGATCAACTGAATGGATTGCTTCTGTTTGTTTACAATAAAGATGGCCCAGATTATCTTGCAGTAAGTTCAAAAATACAAATAACTATATTCAGACATGACTTGTGAGTTTTGTTACTAAAGCCAAACTAGCACTTAAAGAAATTTCATACCATAAGTTATTTTCGTGTTTTACTAGTTTTGAAATGCTTTGCACAGCAAAGTATAAGGGGAGCAAAACACTCCAAGCGATGCTCAATTAAGTTACTTGTGTTATTTATATCATAAATAAGAAAGATATCAATATATGAAATGTAGAATTATTGTCTTTACTGAATTAGAAAGGAGAATGAAAGACATATTAAAAGTGTCCACGTTATTCCTAGGCAAGTATAGAGCTACTATTTTCCCAGTTCTCATAGTAGAACAAGATCAATTAAATTGTAAATCAAAAAGTTAATGATGGAAATTGTCCAGTCTCATAATAAAGCTTTCTCTTTAAGATAGATGTATTTTTTTATAATCCATAAATTTTTTCATTTGTATTTGAAACATATAGTCAGAAATTAGTGGTCCAGCTTAATCCTGTCTCATCCCTGTAATGGTTTTTCCCAACACTGCAAAATACAATCCTGTATTAGGCAAATTTGTGAGATAATGCTTATGAAGTTTCTTTTTGGTGTCTGTTAAATAAGACTGTTTATACTCAGAATTACTTGTGCTTCCATCATTTCCAGTATTTTGTTTAAATTTTAATATGTTTGTTTTCATTTTTCAAATTCTTTTATTAGCTGCATGGCTCTGGATTTTGATATTTTTCTTTCCTCAAGGATTCTGAGTGTAATTAGGCTGTGGTCACCATTGCTTAGTAGGTCAACTATAGTTAGTACTTTCACCAATTAATAGGTATTACAGAGGATGGAAAAAAAAAACTTTTACAGCTTATCCAGGAAGCAATAATTTATTTTTAGAGATTTTTGAAAGTATTGTTATTCTTTATGACCCAATCTACCCTTTCTGCTCTATTATTGAATTTAATTTATTTATTTATTTCTTATTATGCAGCTGTTTTGCTAATGGCTGTCATGTCACAGCCTGTTTTATTGCACGGCATTATATCTAATGGGCCTTTTCTTTTAAACTTGTGACCTAAAACATATAAATGTATTTTTCTCCTTTTCAGGTCAACTATAACTTACTCTATATTTTCTTTTTATACTACTGGCTTTTCCAGCAGATCATTTTTTCCTGGATTTTGAATTCTGCTAGACCGATTTGCTTCCTCTTTTTGACACAGCCTTAGTTAAAAAATTACAATGAGTTCCAATAACAAGTCTTACTAATTACAGTTATTACTTTAATTTTGCCCTCAAGTAATGACCAAGATCACAAGCTAATAGCATAAGATATTATAGGTACACTACTGTTCCACCCTAAAAAAGAGTTGTATGTGTGTAATTCACAGCACAGGGGCACTATTTACATGAACAGTATTCACCAGGTTCTTCAGGAGATTCTGGTAGTATGTGATCCTTGTTTCCTCTGTCTTGCTCTGTGTAAGACTACCACAAACATGAGAAAATAGATTCTGACTATAAAGTAAGAAAGGGGACTTACTAAATTTGAAGTGGAGTCAAAAGCACAAAGCAGTTAGACAAAATAATTTCCTTTTCTACTCATACAAAAATCATCCAGATTTTTGACAGTTTTATATTTCTACTATTTTCAGCTCTGAGAATTGTGATTGGATAATTTTCTTAGAATTTGTCCTAAATCAAGTAATTTTTTTTAATGTCACTTTAATCCTGACCTCAACGTCTCCATAGCCTTAAAATGAGGAATTTTAGAGAGGATGAGTACATGTATGCATGCTTTTCCAACTCTTGCGGCTTTGTGTTCTGCACATACATAATGATGACAGAAGGTTTTTCTGTACACTTGAGCTCACAAAAAAAGGTTAATAGAAAGTGAAAATGAGGTGTGTAGCATGTTGCACATGAGCTACGATGTCTTTGTTAGGAGCTTTGGTCAGGAAACACTTGCACAGCAAAACAGATTATAAACTATACCACTTATCCCAAGTGCTGTTGTAAGACAGTATTCCCTGACCCTTCTCTTTGCATAGGTCACAGCTCTCTTATTAGCATTATGGTTTGGGAATGACTGTAGCTAAACACGTGGCTGATCTGATACCAAACAGCCAAAGACTGTCTTGTCTTCTGCCCAAGACAAAATGATGTCCTAGAAAGGTGCTGTGCATAAAGGTCACTTCTTCCATGCCTTCTATGCCCTGAGAATTAACTCAAGCCAGATAGGTCAATCTGATTATCTTTGGATCCAGGCATAATAATTACAGGCAAACTGTGACCAGATACACTAGTATGAATTACTAGCTCTCACTCTGGCATGTGTTTCCTCATGAGTTTATGTGATTAAAAGAATCCGTGATGGCTGATAAAGTTTGCATTACTGATTTTAATGCTGAGCACTTCAACTGCAGCAAAAGCCTAAGCACTACCAGTGTGCAACAGTGGCACTGGCTCCCAAGAAATTGTAGCTGCTGATTTGCTTCTGCAAAGCTGCAAAGTAAGAAAAAAGTCTCGAAAGAACTTTTCCCAAAGAATTGCATGTTTGAATAGCTGCATGAAGTAAAATAGCCAGAGTCCAAGGTGAAAGCATTACTGTGATGGAAATAAGAAAGGGTGTGAAATTAGCATTTTGAGAACTCAAAATGCAAATCGTTAAAGAGTGACTGATTCTGAGGGGACTGTTGAGGGTCTTTGTTTGGGCCTCTGCTCTCTGGCTGGCAGGTCTGAACCGGGCTAGATTTTGAACTGGAATGAACATCAGCATGAGTAACATGTACTTTCACTTTCAAAGGAGACACAGACTGCCTGTCCTTGACAAGTTTTTTGAAGTCCATTGCTTTTCTCTGCTGGTATTCCTGAGACTCAGGAAGACTTCCCAATTCAAGGGAGATAAAGCCATAATCACTCTTCTAGTTCTACATTGGTTGAGACCATTTTGGGTGGCAGGTTTAATGAAGTGTCATTCAGGCTCTGATGCAGCCCCTGTCATATGTGAGTTTGGTTTCCCAGAGCTATATCTGCATATTCCTTTCATCTTCAAACTCATATGTTTATAAGCAGATCGAGTGAGGCAACTACTTGCTCCTGCAGAGAAGTACAATACAGAACCAAAAAATCATTTAAGTTGAAGGGACCTTTGGAGTAATTTATTCCCAGTCTTTGCTAAAAGCAGGACCAATTTATGTTTGAATAGGTTGCTCCATGCATTTTCTGTTTGGGTATTGTGCATCTCTCTCCAGATGGATGGTCCACAGCTTTATAAATTCTGCAGTCTGTTCCAATCTTTGACCATCCGCATTATAGGAAAAAAAAAACCCAAACAACAAAGAAACCAGCCCTGATCTCTTACTGTTTCTCTCATTACAACTTGTTTTTTGCCTCTCATCCTTTTGTAATGAGCCTCTGAGAAGAGACTGGATCTGTCTTTTCTGTATCTTCCCATAAGGAAGTTGAACAGTAAAGTTCTCTTCCCTTTTACTCTTCAAACTGAACAAACCCTGTTCTTTCAGCTTCAGATCATACTCTAGGTACTCCAACCACTGACCAACTTGGTGCCCCTCCACTGGATTCACTCTGGTGTTCCGCAGTATCTTTTATATACCAGAGATTCCACAACTGGATACAGTAGTCCAAGTCTTATACAGGATAGATAGAGGGGAAGAATCAACTCCTTGGAACTGGTGCCCACCTCATTTCTAATGTAGCCCAGTGCATGTTGGTCTTCATCATTTTGAGGGTACATTGTTGGCCAGTGTTCAGTTTGTGATCCATCTTGACTCAGTATTTTCTTCAAAGCTGCTTTATATGCCTAGGACACCAGTGACAGCCCTCTTAGCTATCACTGGCAACCTTGATGAGAGTACACCCCATCCTATTGCCCAGGTCATTAATAAAATTTTTAATCAGAGTTGGTCCCTGTATCAGTCTCGGAGAGATACTACAACCTGCTAGTGGGACTATGGAAGCTCTTCTTGCTCCTCATATCTTCCAGTTTCAGGCTAAGCTTTGGTTTTCCTAACTCCAAACTTAAATGCTGAGGTATATCAAAATAAGAATTGTGTACGTGTAGAAAAGCGTTAATGAAATTTTGTACCTCAAAATCTGAAAAGCAAGCATGTTTTGAAGAATTAAACTGGAAACTGCTTATGTTTAGAGCTGTGATATAACACTCTTGTTCTGTTTAGGGATGGCAACTGAGATGTCTGTAAGATGATCTTTATGCGTTTTTGATTTAAAGTAATAATATAGTTTCCAAGGACAGATTATAAATCAAGCATTTTTTTTAAAGTGGTCCCAGAATTTTATCTAAAGCAAACAATTAGTCTGTTGTTTTTCTAAACCTATGGTCAGTACCTATGCTCAGATCTATGCAGAATTTTGTTTTTTTTTTTTTTATCTTCACCATGCAGAACAACTGAAACTGAGCAGTGGTCCCCAATCTTTGTCTTCACTTGGGCATTCTAAATGTCAGTCCAGGTCAACAAAAAAAAGCACAAACATTATTCACTGCCTGCTTTAAAACTATGCCAAGATGAGTAAATTGGAAAAGGGTTGTGCTGAGTAGTGACCCTGTGTCAAACACTGTGCCCTCTCTCTGGCTTCCAGGTCTGGCAGACTTGCTGGCATATCACTGTACTAATGCATCTGGAATGCTTTCTTCACACCAGCACAGTGTGCTCTATATTAATTCTTATCAATGAAGAAAAGCAGTGACTTGTCCAATGGACACATTTTTCAAGCTATACTCATCAATACTGATGCCATGATCAGTCCTTTGCCTGTATTGTAGAGTCCTTAGCTATAAATGACTCTAAACTCATGGAAATAAGAAAAGTTGCAGTCCCAAAGAAAGAAATAAACAAAATCCCTCTGTTTTATGAGCAAGAAGTCAGTGTGCACTTGGGATAGGACCTGCATTGCCTGTGTCACTGCAAGTACAGAGTTCTTTCATCAGTTGGAGTCCCTGTTAAGGAAATACAATCTAATTATGAACATTGCAATGCTAATATTATCAGTAAACTAAATATGTCAGTTTGTCAATAATGGTGATAAGAATTTATATTAAATCTGTACTTTTTATTTCACTTAATAAGGTTTTGTCATAGAAACAGTAATGCCTTTTTGTGGATATATTCATATTTTTCAAGCACCAGTTCATCCCCTAAGTGTCTAGTGCTTTATATGTGCCAATTTACAGTCTCAACCCACTTGTGTTCCATTCAGTTAGGATAAAGAGTCTTGCAGTAAAGCATTTGGAGACTTCTGCAGTGAAACGTTTAAGTAAAATGTATTTCTATTAGACAATTGGCACATTAATCTCAAAAAGCACATACAAAACCAATTATTTTCTTACAAGATGTAGAAGAATAAGGATGAAATGTATAAATGTAAGAATCAATGTATACTGCAAAAATTTGAAATTGAGTTCACCAGCCAATTAAAAAGACCTTAATCAGGTCTGACATTTCATTTCCTTATTATCTTGTTACATTCTTCTAAAAAATGAATCGATAGATAAAATACTGTTTTCTCATTCTCAAAAAAGCAAAACAGTCCTGATTCATTGTCCTTTCTTTTTAGTTGCATTAATACCAAAGTCTGTTGTCAAAAATTCAAAATATATTTTCCTACCTTCTGAATTAACTGATTCACTCACTGTATTTAGCATCCTTTGTGTAAACAGTATTATCCTGAAGATAAAAATTTCTTATTCATTGATCTTGTGCATAACTCCTTTGATTATGTTTTTCAAAGTGAATTTCTGTCATTGTGTATTTGATGTCTCTTTCAAAATATATTTTCTCTTTGAAAATATATAGATTGAACTGAAAAGTGGAATATTAAACATCTTTTTAAAAACTGGCCTTGTCTTCACACAAGTGGATCTGTGGTTGGGACTGTCTTATTGTGATGGAAAGTGGAATGAAGTCACTGTGAACAAGGAGGGCTCTGTGATTTTAACAAGTATGAATGAACTGAGAGAGCAGGCACTTGAACCCCGTGTTCAGCAGCTGAAAGTAAACTCACCTGTCTACATAGGAGGAATCCCACCTGAGATTCAGAATTTTTATAAAGAGCTGGGGTTAGAACAAGGTAAGATGACACCAAGAACATGTGTTTTCAAAAACTGATGTCATGCACAAGGTGGACATTCTGCTGCTGACAGTGTAAATTCATGAATATGTAACAGGAATTTTTCTTTCCACCCATTGTTACCTTAACTACCAGTCATCCCTACCAATGTAGCTTTACTGAGTCCTGATCCTTTTGCAAAGCTATAAAAATTCTTCCAACCCAGTGATATCTGAAGCAATCTAACTGCTGGGAGGGGTACTGGAGAGTAGCAAATGGTAAACTGAGATGTCCAACCAGATGATTTCAAATCTTCATCAGAGAACCAGTTCAGATAAATTTGTTTCACTTGATCCACTCATGTCACTTGCAGATCTGGAATACAAAACCAGTGGAAAACAGTAAACATAGCTTAAATTACTGTAATGAGGCTGGATGCTGCCACATGGAAGAATAGTTGAGAGGGTTTTAGGCCATTTTAGGCAATATTGATTCTAACCCAAAAAATTAAATGAATATAAACCCCTGAATTTGGATTTTGGCTACAATTTCTGTGACCTTTTCCTTGTTATCAGAAAGAGGAGACACGGTCATATTTTTAGCCATCACTGTGACCCTTCTGTTTGGGAACAGGTCAAATTTGTAGGGAAAAGAGAGAAGCATTAATTACAGCCTGATACTAGTGGCCTTCACAAAAGATCTACTGTAGGAAATGTAGCCAAAAGTGTCTACTAAACTGACTCTGGGTGTGTTTTTTCATTAGTTGTGAAAATATTCATCAGTCATGGTGTATTTTTCAGATACCGTGAACAAATAAGTAGCAGTCAGTAAGTGATTAGTGGGGAATCTAGAAAGTGGCTTTGAATGCATGAACTCACACTGAATGTGTGCATCAAGTGAGCTCTGCAGAGCTGTTTGGAAGCCTGGTGGTTTCACAGCTATAGAGTAGTTTGAATCAAATCCATGCACTGGCATTCACAGATATTTCAAGAATATAGTGTTCTTCCAGCTCTAAGTATCACATATAATATAATCTTCCTTCAGGTTCTGCGTGCATAATATTTATGGCCTGAAAGAGCTAGCCAGTCATACCCTGTCAGTGTTGCCTTGTAGCAGATGGTATAGCCTCGTGAGTGGATGCATTCACAACTCCTGCAGCAAAGAGATCTGTGAACAAAGAATCTAGGGCAACATAGCATCTAAAGTGAATGTCTGAAGTGCATACCAAGGCACATCAATAAACATTGCTTTTCCACCAACCCTCCTCAGCACGCCGCAAAATAAGATGGCGGCTTGGAATTTGTATTTAGAGTGTCCAAAGAGAAAAACATTCTTATGTGTTCCTAAATGTAGTTTTAGGTAAACAAGATTAGACATTACAGCTTAAAGCGTGTTTTATTTAGGACTACAGTGATGTAATGGTAAGATAATAGAATATGGAGACCTTCTGATTTAATAATTATTTAGATAAGATTTTCTCAATCAATGGCTGCTTTGTAGTTAATTTTTAATAAAGGAATGTTGTTTTGCTCACAGCAAATAAGGGATAAATATCCTTCTCCTCCCACCTCACCTCCATGTCAGTTACAACTTTAAGAAATTTTAACTAGAGTCTGTGGGCCTTTGCATGACCCATCATATGCCCTCTTGAGAGGTTCAGAAGGAAGGTACCTTGCAGGAATGTTTGTGAGAATTTGTACTGTCTTTACTTATTCTGCAGCTACTTGAGAATAAACAAGGTTACTTGGCTGACATTAGTCAGAAATCTTCAAATAGTGATAAATGTAGCCAAAAAGATACTAAAATAATGTATTAAAATAGCTTATACAGTGTGCATCTCACTGAAAATTAAACAGCTGTTCATTCTGTCTTATGATTAGAATGTCCATGCAGACTGGGACTAATTCTTTCCTCTGCTGCAGACTAAGAAACTGAGCAGGTCGCTGTGGAGTGGCAGTTGAACTTAAATTAGGATGTATTCATGCTGAGGAGCAGTTTGGCTAAATTCCTAGCATCGTGGAAAGAGAAAGTGTTTTAGAGGCTGAGTCAAGGTTTCCACCTTCAGTACCCCTTTTTGCATGAACTACGTAAGGACATTAGATTCTCAGTTCAGGTGGCTAAGTACAAATACTACTCTGATCTGTCATCTTGCAGTGATAAAGGCAATAAAAGTACATAATATATAAATGCAGTGCTTTCACAAAGCTAAAGAGTAGCACTGATCAGTGAGAGGTGGATTTTTAATTTACAAAGTTAATTCTTAAATGAACTGAAGTCTTCAGTTTGGTTACTGTTTACTTCAGGTTTATGTTAAACACCAATCGCTACTCAGATTTGAGAACTATTTTGTGTCAATTTGTTAATTTTTAGTAAATATAGAGATTTTAACAACTGCATCCTGAATTTTATAGTGATGTTTTAACTGCAAATGACTAATTTAACATATTTGTAATGTTGATAGGAATGTTACACACGTGGACACACAGAAATATATGTATATATAGAAATAAATATAAAATGTAACTTCTTAAATTTTTTTATCATAAACAAATAGTTTAGGGTTGTGTTTCTAGAGGATGTTTGTAAACAGCATACTCGTTATATCCCCATCACAAAAAACTGAAATAACTCCATCTGATCTCCTGAAGTTAATTGTATTTTTAATTTAGATATTTTTCTCAGTTTGAGAAAGCATGTGTATTAACAAAATATTAGAAGGCAGCAGAAAGCTGATTTTAAAAGTCAGAATCACTTTTATGGTAATAATTTTAAAGTGAGAAGTGGCAGGAGAGAAAACAGAAAGCTATTTCCTTCTGGGATGGAATTGCTGACAGTGAAAGGTGTTCCTGTAAGGCAGGAACTTACCAGCTTAGTATCATGAAAGTGTAGGCAGAACGTCATGTTGGAAGTCAACCTATTCACATTATAGTCTTTAATGCTGAAAATATAGAATTGAAAGGAACAAAAGTGTTTCTTAATGACTGAAGCTCTTTATGTGGTACTAATCCCTTACTGTTTGCTAGGTTTCGGTGGTTGCATGAAGGATGTTAAATTTACACGAGGTGCTGTCGTTAACTTGGCATCTGTGTCCAGCAGTGCTGTCAGAGTCAATCTGGACGGATGCCTATCAACTGACAGTGCTGTTAACTGCAGGGGAAATGACTCCATCCTAGTGTACCGAGGAAAAGAGCACAGTGTTTATGAGTGTGGTCTACAACCCTTTACAGGTAGCACATTGGTTCTTTAAAAAAAAATACATAATTTTCAGTTCATTTTTTGTCAATGTATTACTGTGTTCAGTGTTTTTTTAGTATTTTTAATCTTTTACCTCCTCTGTACTTCTCCATGTCCTTTGAAGAATACCTCTATAGGGTGGTTGCCTCAAATGAAGGAGGATCAGTATCTAGTGTATGGACCCACGTTCGTACAAGAGAATCAGGTAAACATAATTTTAAGTTTTACTTACTATCATTTTTCATAGGCTATGTAACGCCAGGTTGAAGGTGTTCAAGAATGGTCTCGGCACAATTCTGTGCAATGTGCTCTAGGATGACCCTGCTTGAGCAGGGAGGTTGGACCACATGACCCACTGTGGTCTCTTCCAACCTTACCCATTCTGTGATTTTGTGGAGACAATCCCACCACAGTGATTTTGAGTAGTGCACGTTGCACGGTATTTCTGAAGGAGCAAAACTGCTTAATGCTTTGAACAGGTACCAAACTACAGTCATCAGCTAAAGTGTTAAGGCAAGTATTTTCTTATCATAATTCAAGGTATTTTCCAAACATGTATTAGATAATGTCATTATGTGAGAGGAAAGGATGTTATTGAACTGCATTAACTGAGTAAGAGCAGCCATCCATGTAGTTGTGCTCTTGTGTGCACATCTGACCTCATGTTACATGAGTAGGTTGGAGTAAGTAAATCTGCATTTTCCTATGTATCACCTAATGATACAAAATCAGGTGTAGGGAAAGGTGTTACTGGGATAGCAGGCACAAGCCGTGGAAATAAGAGGCCATGTAGTTGCTAGGGACAAGAAGGTGTTGTGAAAGTTGTTTTTTTAAATGACCCGCACATGAGTATGATGCTCAGTGCAGCTGAACAAGGATTCTTTTAACAAGTAGTCCATAGATTGTGTGTGAAAATGTGGCAATATATACTACCAAAGCAGCATGTGGCTTGTGGAGAAGGTTTCAAAGTAGGAACATATCTGCTGAGCATTAAAGATCAAATTTTTTCATATGTCTTATGAAGAAAATTAAAAAAAACTTTTCCCCTTCTGTTCAGTGTTTTTCAAACTTCATCAAGCAAGTTTTTGAAGATTTACAGTTCTGTGTATTTTATTTAACAAACCTTCCCTCTTCTGTAAATTGTAGCCTAATTGCATTCCAACAAGGCAGAGAATTCTTTTCATCGAAGTTATTCAGTGTATGATCTTAAAACATTATATGATACTTGCATAAATATTGGACTTGAAAATGCATTCTTATACAACTTACTCTCATAATTTGGTGTGCCACCCAGAAGGCACAATATATGTGCATATTTTCATATTAAAAACTGTCTGACAACTGTAAGGTTTGCCACAAATTTATGTTTGCAAGCTGACCACAGTATTGAGCAGTCTATGTTCCCTGGGGTTGGAGAATAATTGCACTATTTAATTATTTTTGAGTTGGTTTTGTTATATCCCTTATGAGAAGACCATCTGCTGTACAGTACCTTACCTTACCTTCATAACTAATAAAATCAATATATTACTGTAGTAATGGAAACTTTCTCAGAGTATCACATTCTTACTTTACACAAGAATCACAACTTCCAGGTATTTTTGTACTTTCCATGCTGATACCCTTCTTATAAAAAACAAGACTGCATTCATATTTAATGAAACTAAACAATAAAATTACCAAAAAATAGGTTATTTAATGGAGAGAAAAGCGAATGATCATCAGCAGGGCTAGGGAGTCCACATGCGTTTACGGCAAACTCATCATCCATCATCCTGCCATAGTGTTCCTTGGGTCTTTCCTTTGCATCCCTTGTGCAGTCATCTGTGATGAAGCTGTTACTGGCCAGACCTTTACCTGGTATAGTAATATCTAAGAAATAGTTAAAGGTTATAGGAAATGGGATGATTTCTTTTTATTAGCAACTGTATGCATATATGATCTTGGTTTTCTGTTCCTTAAAACATTTTCATTTTCCTTTTTCCTTTTTTTTTTTTTTATATTATTTTATGATCAGAAGCAAAGGATTTTGGAAAAAGGCCTTAAAAATCACTGCTTTGCCCCAGGACAAGTGCATGGCATTGTGGAAATAGGAAAATAAATCAAAGACCTTCAATTTTTTGAAGGACTTCTGTAAATGAGAATGCAAATATTTAGAAATGTCTCATAATTGTGACATTCTGTGGCTTAGATACCCAACTGATAAATATCAAAACTCTTCTCTGTTGCAGTACTGTCTTGCTTCATTCAGTTGTGTTATTTTAATGCCTGAGCTTGTTAGCTACGTGCAATCCACCTCCTCTCTTTGTGAGTGATGCTTAAATATGTTTGATACATGAAATGTTTTTGGAAAATTGCAACAAGACAAGAAGGAATGTTATGTAGATGGAGTTTTGATGGTTTTGAAATATAGCTTAAACTGAATAGCTCAAGATGTGCAGTCATATTAAATCAATGCTGAAAAGTTACAACTCTAATAAATTGTATTTATGCTAATGGTTGAGTCTGATTTACTGCAGCCATTAAAAGTGAAGAATAGGGGCAATAGTCTCCTTAGAACTGCCATTTTCTCTATTTTCTATTTTATCCTTCTACAGTTCCACAAAATGTGCCAAGTCCCTCAAGAGTTCACAGTATAAATGGTTACAGCATTGAGGTCACCTGGGACAAACCAGCTGGGGTCATAGGTGTAATTGAGAAGTACATTTTGAAAGCATATGAAGCGGATGGTCCCAATGTACCCATCACTAGTGCTGAGCTTGCTGACGCTGGTATGCTCACAGGTAAATGCTGTTAAGTACCATTTTTTAGGCATATCTAATAACACAGGATGCTTATACCTTCTTTTGTTGATCTGTAAAAAATTACTTGTCTATTTTTGTGTATACACAGCATAGATAACATTTGGAAGGATAATTATTTGTGTCAGCGTCCTCATAGTGATGTACTCATTTCAAAGAACAATAGAAATTAAGATATAACACAAATACTAAAAAGCAATTCCCAAACTATTTATGATCTGGGCGGGAGGAATGCTTTTTTGGTTTACTTGTTTTTTGCGCAGTATATGTGATTTTTTTTTCCCTCCTTCACTGTTGTTCCATCCAGTTCACCTAAATTAACTCTGAATGTGGGTCCCATAGGATACTGTGTGACCTGAGGTATGAAAACACTTGATCTACTTGCCTAATTTTGATCATATAAACCCAACTGATTTCGGTGGGAACTACTATGCATATGCATTAATCAGATGGTGTGGTTGATACCACTGGGATATAGAGGTAGGTTATTATGGAATGAAGGAATTCAGGGCTTTGAGTTTATGGGGTTTTTTTGCTGTTGAGCTGTGGGTTGTGGACAGAAGCTATAAGGAACCTTACATGAGGTGTTTCCTGGAGTCTAGGTCTTTTTGCCCATAGGAGGCAGATTTTTTTAGGAAGAAATGGTGGACTCTTTTTTCTACATAGAGAACATTTTGGGACATTTCTTCCTGTCAAGATAACGTGGATCTGGCTTTCTGCTCTCTATTAACAAACTGCCTTTGATTGCTGCTACAAGGGAAGGAAGTACATTACAGAAAAGAATCTGGATTATGTTATATGGTGACTAAACAAGGCAATAATACAAAATCTTACTTTCATTGTAACAAATTGTGACCAATACATTTGTTTTTATAATCTCTAACATCAATTATTTAATTCATAACAATTACGAAAGTGGTAACAATGTAATGCTCAAAGCTGTTGCTTTGGTTTGACTCAGGTTCTGGGCAGTACAGTAGTCTTGGAAAAACTGTTAACTCAGGCAGTATATTATTGCTACTTTCCTGAAGCCCAGGTAATAGTTTTTACTTAAGTGTATATGGTTTGTGTTGTTTCTCTGCCATAAGCATACATTTTTAAGAGAAAACTTGCATGTATTTTATTTTCTTCAGTTTGAAATATCTTGACTGTTTGTGAGTGATGAACTTACATACTGCATGGGCTTTCTGTCCTTACTGCCATTTCTTTGATGACCTTGTTGATTTCAATATTCTTTATTTATGCTATAAGGCAATACAAATTGTATTAGCAGAATTTAAAGACCCTAGTAGAAACATATGTATTAGACAGCTTATTCACAGCTGATGGTCAGAACAAAAATGTTGTTTAAATTTGTTGGTGCTGTGCCATGATTATGTGTCAGGGTTATGAAAAAGCCTATACCAGCCTGGACAGGTAAGAGGTTATCTGCATGCAGCTTACAGGAGGTAGAAGAAGAAAACATACCTTTGTATTAAATGGAGACAGTAAGTGGATCTTGGTTCTTTATTACAGCAGATAGCTGTTGAATAATGGAAAATAAAAGAATGGAATCATAGAATACCAGGTTGGAAGGGAGCTCAAGAATCATTTTGTACAACCTTTCTTGGCAAAACCATGGTCTAGATAAGATGACCCAGCGCCCTGTCCAGCTGAATCTTAAAAGTGTCCAGTGTTGGGGAATCCACCACTTCCTGGGGACATTATTCCAATGACTGATTGTTCTCATTGTGAAAATTTTTCCCCTTGTGTCCGAGTGGAATCTCTTAAGGAGTAACTTGTACATATTACCTCTTGTCTTCTCCATGTGACTCCTTGTAAAAAGGGAGTAGCCACTTTTTAAATACTGGAACATGGTGATAAGGTCTCCCCTGAACCTTCTTTTCTCGAGGCTGAACAGACCCAGTTCTCTCATCCTTTCTTCACATGGCAGGCTTCCCAATCCTTTTAGCATCTTTGTGGCCCTTTTCTGACCCCTCTCCAGCCTGTCCACATCTTTTTTGCACAATGGGAACCAAAACTATACATAGTGTTCCAGGTGTGGCCTGACAAACACTGAGGGGAATTATGACTTCTTTATCTCTCCTGGTGATGCCTTTCTTGAGGCAGCATCCTGCTGGCTTTGTTTGCCTCAGTAGCACACTGAGCATTCATATGACCCAAAGAACTTAAGAATGGCGGTATTCAAATATTGGTCTCTCTGACAATGTCAGATTATAGATGCTTAGGAAGAAAATGTAAGAAATGTGCTAAGCATAGAGTGAGTGTTCCTGTTAATACAAATTCAGCTGTTTGGCTGAAAGCTGCATCTGGACCATCATGCTTAATGTACTATGGTAAAATTGTCTTTATTTTTTTATACATTTATACTTCTAGCTTCTGTAACTTGCTGTGGCAGTAAGTTTTCCAATTCGGTTTTGTGTGTTTAAGGACTGCTTCCTTAAACAGTTTAGTTATGTATTTTCCAATTTTGGCATTGTATGAAATATATAATTGATGTCCTCATGGTGAGGTCAGAGCTGAGACAAGTGGAAATTAAATCACTGGTCTTGAAGCTATTTTACCTTAGTTCATTGATTTCAGTGAAGCCTACACAAGTGGGCAAGTGTGTGGACATTGAGAAATGGTTATCCACAAATGTGACGACCCCAGGAAAAGGTGTCTTTCCCTGTTGAATTATCTTTCCTAGTTAATAAAAAATTATCATAAACACAGAACCCCACAGAAGATGCTATCTTTGCTTACTTTGAATTTGCTGAGAAGGAAAATGTTGCTTGTTTTCTCCCTAATTTCAGGTAAATTTCTTCAGAAATTCTTTTGTTGTGTTCCACGAGGAAATGCCACAGTAACTCAAACAGCCAGGCTTGTTAATGCGACAGCAGAGAAGAAAGCACCACACCTCTCGGTGGGATCACCGATGAAGAAACTCTGACATTTTTCCACACCCTCCTTCAAATTTTCATTCCCTGTCAAATCTAGGCACCACTTAATCTGCTGCTTGCAAATGTATCTGAGGGCACTGACAACCCTCTTTGTCTTTTTTTTCCCTTGAAGCTTTTTATGCCCATCTCTTGTGTTTTGGTTTATACTTAAATTGTAAATTCTTTTGAACCATTTCAGTAGGGTCCTGAGTCATAACTGTTGCACAGTGACAAAAAGTTAAGAGCATTACCCATTTCTGAGAAGGCTGTCCTGTGTGTGTCAAATTCAGAAGAACCTGTTGTACCGTTGTCAAGAAGAAAAGCTGAGCTAAATATTAAAACAGGTCTTTAAATGACTGTAATACCACAGTCTCAAATGCCTATTTCTGATTCATCAGAAACCAAAATCCTTCCAAATCTGACCCTTGTAATCTTCAAAATGTCAAACTATTTTTTCACTTTCATCCAAGAAAAGAGTATTCATCAGATTTAAATGCTTAAAATGAGGTTCTGACTGTTGAACCAGGAGTGCATTGGATATATTATTTGATATATTTCCACATGGTGTTCAGTATCTGTATTGTAGGCTGAGAGTGCAAAGTTAGAGTGTAAATTTTTGGGATTCAAGGAGCACTGTGCAAGTCTGTCTTACCTTCAAAGACGCATGTAATAACATTGATACACTTTGGATACAGCTCTTCACACTCACAGAGTAATAAAGGAAGTACAGGGTCATCACATCAAAGAAGTTTCTTCCTAGAGGCTGGGTTGCTTTCCTGTGCATTCCAGTGCATTCCGCATGCTGACATGAAAATTTGGAATATAAATTAGTATCAGTATTTAAACAAATGAAAGAGGCTTTAGAAGATACGTTGTTTCAGTCTGGTTTGTGAGAAGCTTTTGCTTCTACTTTCCTTTGGAATCCAGAATATCAAAGGATCATTGGGGTTGGAAGGATTATCTAGTCAACTCCCCTAGCTCAGGCAAGGTTAGCTGGAGCAGGTTTCCCAGGACCATGTCCAGCTGAGTTTTGAATATCTCCACATATGGAGATATTCCACTGTGGGAAGCCAGTTCCAGTGTTTGTCCACCCTCACAGTAAGAAAGTGTGGTTTCTTGTGTTCAGTTGGAATTTCCTTTTCTCTCCCGGGAAAGTGGTCACAGCACCAAGCCTCCCAGAGTTCAAGAAGAGTTTGAGCTCTCAGACAGATGGTGTGATTCTTGGGGTTGTCCTCTGCAGAGCCAGGGGTTGGACTTGATCAAGGAATCGTTTAGGTTGGAAAAGACCTCTGAGATCATCACGACCCATGATCCCTGTGTGTCCCTTCCAACTCAGGATATTCTATGATACTATGATTCATGTATTTCAATTTGTGCCCATTGACTCTTGTCATATCACTGGGCATTACTTAGAACAGTCTGGCTGCTTCTTTGTTCCCTCCCATCTGGTATTTATACATATTGATAGATCACCCCAAGCCTTCTCTTTCCTGAGCTCAGTCCCATCTCTCTCAGCCTGTCCTCATAAAAGACATGCTCCGGTCCATTTTTCATCTTAGTGACCCTTTTGTATCACCCACAAACTTGCTGAGGGTCACACTTCCCCCATGATGAAGGTCATTAATGAAGATGTTGAACAGTATTTGCCCCAGTATCAACCCCTGGGATACACCCCAGCTGTCTTGCCTCTTAACAGGTTTTGTGTTACTGATCACAATCCTCTGATGCTTCTCTTGTCAAGCACAAGTGCTAGGAGGACTATGGTGGGTTTTTTTATCCACCATAATTCCGATTGCTCTCATTTAAGAGTTCAGGAGATTGACAAGCCTGTAAATGACAGGGTCCCAAATATGGGCAGTGAAGGATGCTAATGATACCTGCAAATAACATTGAAATAAAATATGCTGCAAAAGAATTCACAAACAATTAGTGTTCCTCTTATAGATATCTCTTTCAAGTGTGTATGGTTTTGCTGTTCATCCTGCCTGTGTCATTGCTGCGATAGTTGAGGGCTGATGTTGTGACTGCACACGTGGTAACGAGAAAATTGTTGTCACCAGG